CTAGAGAGCGTTTCCCTGCCCGCGACCTCTCCAAAGAGCTCAAAGGCACAGGACTCTGAGACAACGACCTGCTGATGTAGCAAGGTCAGTGGCTCTCGTGTAAATCCCAGGTTGGGCATTGTCCTGAGGAGCTGGACAGTATCTGTAAAAAATTGCTCATTATGAGCCATAAAAAAGCCAAGGTATCACAGAGCCTACTGTGGGGATAGATTTACGGGTAGATGAATGATTTTTTTTTGTCAGTATGTACTGCCTTTCTCCATAAAGTCTGAGCATGTCCCTCTAATATTTCTAGATTAAACAGAGGATTTTTACATGACCCTTTTCTTCTCTATCTATAGTGATGGTCTACAGCTTTACAGAACAGCCTGTCTCGTGCTCACTCACTTATATGTTCATACAAACATCGGAATAGAATATTCCCAGATAGTAAAATCAGAGACCCAGGGACTCCAACGTAGATGAGACTTCACAGAAGCAAAGCCAAAGTGAATATTCAAGAGGTATGTGCACATGACCTAAAGGAGGGGTCACTTGGAGCTCCACTGGGTGACCATCCTGCCATCTGAAGACACAGGGCGTGGAGAGCCCTCTCAGGGCAGTGCCGCCTGCAGCAAGGTCACGTCCTAGGGCTTGCAGTGAGGCTAGCTGGCGGCGAGAGGATGCATCATGGTGCTCAAGGGCAGAGCAGCAGCTTCCCTTGCCAGACCACTTATGCTCTGGGATTTTGGATCTTGCTCCAAATGCCGGGCCTCTAAGCATGGCTCTCCAGCTTTTCTGGCAATGTTGGGTGAGCCACCCCATAGCTAAGAACCCTAACTGATTTGGGCACTCTGGTGAGGAAGCCAGAACATGATGGTTGGACCACAGAGCCCACATTCATAAGCCCTCCAGGCACCCCCTCCACTGCAGGCAGTCACTGCACTAGGCTCGGGCTGTAGGTGCCTCCCCCAGCGTGACCATATGGAGTATTGTCCCAAACAGGACATTTTTGAAAATGAAAAGGGCTTCTATTTATAATTATGCCAGAACTGTCCTCGGCAAATGAAATGGTCTTCCTACCCATGTGCCCTGCTGAGGGATTATGCCTTTTGCTTATGCTACAGAGGTACATCAATCTGCTGGAAAGTACATCTAGTTTAAGGCCCAGAGCTAAGGGTCAGACTCAGAAAAACCTTGGTCCTATTTTGCATTTCTCAAGATAAAGTCAGTAATTCCCATCCTGCTAGATGTCCATTTAGTTTCCTTTCAAGCAAATACTGAAACTTAAGAGGAAGTACACTTCTAGAAGGATGACGCCTACCTGACTTCCAATGCCGGTGCAAAACGGCTCTAGATCATGCTCACCATGAACAGCAACTTTAAGAAAAAACAAAGCAAAAGGGAAAGGACTGCATTCTTTTCAATGAGACTATGCAATTGACAAACCATAAAATAAATTGGTAATTGAGGATATACCCAGATAAGATTAGTGGTTCCATGGAAATCCATACGGCAGAAGCACATAAGAGGCGTTTTATTCTCTTAGCTGCTGTTAGATTTCCCCTTGAGAAGGGCATTATATTTGTTCGTTAGAAATACGCATGATAAGCTTGAGAGAAAAGGTGAGGCCCCAGGGGGCAAAGTCAGGTGACAAGAGGGAGTGGATAACTGCCTTCCAAAGAGGGTTTCTGTCAACTGACAGGTCTTTGTTTGGTTAAGCACCTTGGAGAGTGTGAGTCTGCAGAGACAGGTTCTGCCAAAATGAGCTCAAAGCTGGAGCAGAGCTCAAATGCTCTAGAGAGAAAAAGGAGTAGGGAGCAGGGAGGGAGAATCAAGGAGGGAGAAGCCAGAAGGGTGGCAGCCTTACGTACAGGGAAACCCTGGAGAGAAAACCGCTCCAGTGCTCCTGGAGACGAGAAGTACCTCACGTGCTGCTTGGCTTGACCGCTCTCTGTGACCCACAAAGCTTCAGGACAGGCCAGGAACACCAAGTCAGCGTGCTCGGAGTCGTGGGGTTCCCAGGATACTCAGTGAAGCGTCTGCCTTCTGCCGCCACATTGACATGGGATCAATATGTAGTTAGTACCCTTGGATGAAGGGAGGGCTGACCAGAGGGTGTTCTTCTCTGATAAAAATGTGTTTATTTCACATCTTAGCTGAGAGGCGGGAGAGGTGAGGGGCGAAGACGACCGTGACGCTGAGAGAATGAAGTTGATGACGCGAGGAACAACAGAAGGGCCGGTTACAAGGGTGAGAATTCTAGGGAGGCTTTCGGGAGGGAGCTCTGTCGAGAGTCTCGCTCAAGTGCAGGCACCGAGTGACAGAGGATGGCAAGGAAGGGGACAGGGAAAGCAGACACCCTGCATCACTGAAGACGGGTGGAGCTCACACGCCGCCGCCCAGAGAAACATCGTCAAGGGGCCCAGCTGAGCAAACAACCCGGATGCCGGGGGACACCCCAGCGATGCTGGATACTCGCGACTGCCCTGCTGAGCTCCGGTGAAGCCACTTCCCTCCATGTGTTTTTATTTTTCTTTCTCCAGCTATGTCAAGCAGATTAACCGGGTGGACTTACAAAGCGGAAAAAGGCAGCCTGTGACTTGTCTTCTACTCCTGCTTCTTCCTCTAGATTATAGAGGATTTTTTTCCCAACTTCTCAACTTCCAGAGCAAAGTATCCTAACATTTTTGAGGATAAAGATTTTTTTAACGTTTTTCTAAACAACATAAAAACCACAGCTTCCAATTCCCTTTTCCTCTGTGCACTATTGTGAACTCGCAGGTAAAACTGGGGCCTCGAGATTTGCAGAAAGCTGGTGCTCACCCTACTTAACACTGTCTTTGAAATCCACAAAGGACAATTTAAAACTTGTACCTTCTTAGTGCCTTTAAGAAGGCCAGGTCTTTGTTTTAGATCACAAGAAAGAGGATGCACATAGACTACCACCTTAGATGATCCGTGTTTATTTCTGCTGAGAATTAGTAATAGATACTGAGTTTAGCCTCATTCACATTTCTACAGAAATGAGTGTGGAGGCAACTCAACTCTGTGAAATCTCTTTGGCTGACTGATTGCTTCCAACATGGTGAAGTGAGGGACTCAGTCAGGGTTTCAGCAGGGAAGCAGAACTAGGTGTATTAGGGAGGAAGGGATCATCACACAAGCATGGGAGATGCTGGAGAAGTAAGGGCGTGGTAGGAGGAGCTGGGGGATCAGAGAAAGTCATGAATCTGCCCATCAAGGATGGGCATGGTGAGCCACGTGGAACTTGCAGGGGAATCTCTCTGGGAAACCAGATACTCCAGTTGCCAGAGTAGGACCATGAAGGGGACCCAGTGAAAAGTGTGATTTCTACATGACTTGCTTCTGAAAGTCTGCAGCCAAGCTTCGGTTGAGGGGCATGGGGGCTATTGGTCAGTAGTGCCTACAGTTGGGAAGAGCTGGACCCAGAGCAGGAGAGAGTGAGGAACACTTGCCTGCACCTCTGTGTCCGTCACCAGCGGAGAACAACAGCTACTGCTCTCCTCCCGCCTTCCAAACCTTACACAGATTCCTCTTTTGGCCAGTTCTATCTCTGAACCACAAGGGGATGCTGGAAAAAGCAGTTCTAGCTAAACCAACTTCACACAGTACACATCCCCACAGTAAAATAGCCAAAAAGTGGAAATCATAGTCTGTACATTTCAAGAAAAGTTCTTGAAATTCTAATATTAAATTATAATGAGTTCCCAGTCCACTCATTCATATATTTACAAGTACAAAAAAAAACACAAAGTTATGGAAAATAAACCAGTTATAAAATATCACATTTATGGTTGGAACAGCTCTAAATTTTGTCCTTAAAATTCCCACCATAGAGACAGTTTTGGTTTCCAGTAGCTACAGAGGAAGAATGTCTAGGAGAAATACTGAATGCTTTCCTGGATTTGATGGAGTATCAAGAACAGAGGGCTGTAGTCTGTGGACCACAAAGTATCCCAGGCCATTTAAAAAGGTGATTTATTCCAGCAACAATCCCACATAATAGTTTCACACTTGGTGCTTATTAATGCTCATTACAGAGTATTTCCCTTAGCTCCATTAAGCTTTAATCTCAGCTGTTTTCTGGCACATTAACAATATGGCAGCCCACCAAAGGCGGGCTGGTCACAGACTTAATGTTATGCACAAAATAATTTGGCCAATGAATTGGATGGACTGGAAAACTGGAGCAGGATCCCATTCTACTCAGAAGATTCCAAGGGGCTGTGGCATCTCAAAGTGTGACGGCCTTGTCCTCTTTGCAGAATGGATGGCTCAGAGAAGCGTTAGGCTGAGAGCCTCCAAAGAAGAGGCCTTTCCAGTCTTGGAACAGACATAGGATGGGAGGCCATGCTTGTGCCTTGGCACTCCCCCTCTGCTCCCTCCCAGGCAGAGGCTAGCTTGGGAGGCATGGAGAGGCAGTACCCCTTTTTCCACAGGCTTCCCTTAGCTCTGTTCAGGGCTGTCCAGGGCAAAACTGTGGAGGAGGCCACCCCTTCTCTAGCACCTCTCCTTCCACTCGTTTGCCTTCCCCTGATGCTAGGTCGTCCAAGGCCACTCAGTGTTGTTTGCTCCACAGGCCAGCCTTGATTGGTCAATGCTTTATGCTTCAGACTTTCCATTTTCTCTGCCCCCATAAAAATATACCCTCCAGTGTCCCTCTGAGACCTCTCAGCTAATATCACAATACTGCTAATGGGTCCAGAAAGAATCAACAAGAGTCTCTTTAATAGTAGCAATTAAGTGTGTCAGGCTTCTAGACTTCCCTGCAAGTTCCAAGCTAGGTGATCTGACAGAAAGATAATTTGGGCAAGCCTTTGGCAATTTCCACTGGCCACCTACTCCACCCACACGGAGGGTAAATCACAGACGTAAATGCCTGTTTGGTTAATTATTAATGTGATTAATGGTTACTGATTGCTCAAACTCAAGGTCATAAATGCTTTGCATCTATTTTGCTAAATGTCTTGCTAAATAGATGCTTGTTGGCTGAAATCGTCTTTGGCTAGAATTTGTCCAAAGATTTTTCTCTCTCTTAAATTACAGGGACAGGTGGGACACCAATATTCCAGGAAAGACTGAGCAGTAATTCCAGAGGAAGAGGAGGAACTATGGACGGGTGTATGGAGGGCAGAACTGAGAGCAAGGACATCTGAGACTCTAGCCCAGGTTTGTCAGCACACCTGAGATGGTGGCAAGATTTGGAAAAGGAGGTGAGTCACTGTTGGAGTCTATCATAGAAAAGGGTGGGAAAGTCCCAAGTCTAGTCATGCCAAACAAAACAATTGGCTGAGACCAGCTCAGTTAGTGCCTAATGGTTCAGACCATTCATAGGAGCTAATCCTTTTCTAGAGGGTCTTGGATTTCTCCAGCTCCATTCACAGGTCCTGCCAGGTTGTCAGTCCTATACTGTGTAGGTCCTGCCTGCTCACATGGTACAAAGCATAGGACACTTTGCCTGTTGTATCTGCTGCCTGTAGGGTATAACTGGTGATTGGCATGTGCCACTTAGTACTGACTAAATTCTGCCTTTCTCACTGAACTATCTATTGAGGGCCGGGACGCAGTTTTGGTACTCTAGGGTCAGCTCCAGATGCCACACACAATTGAAAGCTAAAATGGTGGCCACTGATGGTGTTCAGCTAATTGCTTGGACCACAGAGAGCAGTAGAAGAAGGAGCAGACTTGGAGTGGATCTCGGTTTTCTTGATTGGTCACCTCTAACTCTGGGCCACACTCAATCTCTCTGGGCCTCAGTTTCTGCATTTATAACTTGGAGGCTTGATGATCCTGCCTGCCTCCTAGGGTTCTTGGCAAGATCAAATCAGATTATGCTCATAAAAGTACATGGCCAACTCCGAAACACTATACAAATGAGGTGCATATATGCATATTTGTAACTATATGAAAATTTTTCATTTTAACTTTTCTTTACCAAAATATAGTTACAGTAAGTACTTATTTGAAAAGAACTTTCTGATAAGTCTGCTTGGGGAAGAAGTTGAAATTCCAAAGACTTCAGTATTTTAGAGAACGGAGTGAAAACACATACTCTACCTGAGGTAAGTCATGTTTTGTTTGCTTGTCTTGTTTTGCACAGGGAGGGAGAAAACAGAGTGAAGAGGCGAGAGATGAAACAAAAAGATGAGAAATTATCATCTCTAGGTTCTATTTCTAAGTCCATTTGGGCTAGACTCCTTCCACTAAGAACTTTTAAAAACAAAACATGAGCAATAAATCCTGCTCTCTGAAGCTCACTGTCACCCTTGGAATGCTATCTGCCAGGACAGGGAAACAGGCCTTCTACTTGCCCTGTACAGAGCATGTTAGCATGCTTGAGGAGTTTTACATGACGGTAATAGTGAGTGTTGCTAAAACGAGAAGTCAGGATGGGCCTGTGAGGTTAAAATGAGGAGGGACAAGGTCAGTCAAAGATGGCCCGGCCGGAGCCAGCCAAGCAGAGGCTGCCGTGGGTACTGGCTGTGGTTCAGGGAGACCAGGGGAGGTGCCAGCTGCCACGAGACAAGGAGCGTAAGGCTCAAGATGGAAAATCATGAACCAGGTGATATCATCAGGGAAACTTAACAACTGATGTCATAGCCAGAAAAATTAGCCAAGTTCTGGAAGTAGAAACGGATGTACTATGAACATGGAGCAGTGTGCCTTGAACTTAATGCTGCTCTCTGTGGCCTAAGAACAGTCTTAAAAATTACTGTAAAAAACTATTATTATTTTATTATAATTATTGACAATTTAAAATTTATCATTTTAGCCATCTTCAAGTATATAGTCCATTTGCATTAAGTACACCCGAATTGTTGTGCAACTGTCATCACCATCCATCTCCAGAACTTGTTCATCTTCTCAGACTAAAACCTGATATCCATTAAACACGAACTCCCCACTCCCTGCTTGCCCCAGGCCCTGGCCACCACACCCTCAACTTCCTGCCAGTATGAACTTGACTACTTTAGCTACCTCATATAAATGGAATCATGCAATATTTATCTTTTTGTGACTGGTTTGTTTTACTTAGCGTAATGTCCTCAAGGCTCATTCATGTTGTAGTATGTGTCAGAATTTCCTCTCTTCTTCAGCTGATTAACACTCCATCGTGTGCACGTAACACACTTTGTTTATCCAATCAACAACTTGGATTGTTCCTGCGTTTTGTTTATTGTGACTAATGCTGCCACAAACATGGGTATACAAATATCTGCTGGATTTCCACTTTCACTTCTTCTGAGTATAAATTCAGAAGTGGAATTACTGGACCATATGGTAATTGTATGTTTAATTTTTTGAGGAATCACCTACCGTTTTTCACAGTGGGTGCACCATTTTCTATTCCAACCAACAATGCACATGGTTTCCATTATCTCCACATCCTCATAACAGTCTTCTAACTGCGGCATGGGTTAGAACAGCTGCCAGGTTACCCACGGCAGTGATCTCATTTTTGATGGTGCATGTATCCTACAAAGATTTTCTGTAATTTTACCTTTGGGTGCAGGTGATTTGAATTGTGGTCACTATACTGCAGCACAGTTGATCTTGTTTCTTGGTGGTCTGCTCTCTCCTTTCTTGGTTATACCTCTGAATGGTGGCTTTGTGGCCAGATATAACTCAGCCCTGTTCCCAGAGAAAGGAGTGGAATTCCTACTGGATGAGAATCTCTAAGCTCTCTTTAGAAGGGTGCTATTTTCACTTCACTCCAGACTGTGTTTGCAGCAGACCTTGGGTCCAGGCAACATAAACTACTCATAAAGCCCTTCTGTTACCCGAACCTGGCATAGGAATTTGCTGGTTTTAAGCAAATATATACACAAAGATAAAACAGTTTAAAAAAGAGAGAGAGAGTGGAGAATGAGGACACTGTAGGTGGCAGTGGTGGGAGCAGTCGGGCCAGCCCTTTGATGGGTGGAGGTGATGCGGAGGCGAGTGGGCAAAGAGGAAGCCTCTCAGGCTCCCTTCCTAACAGTCCCCCCCACCCCCACCGCCTTGGGCAGGTGGGGTTCTTGCAACAGAGCTGTTGTCGCAGGATGTAAAGGAATTACCTTTCCTGTTTGGGCTGCCTATCACTGATGTTGACATTTTCAATTTCCTAATATTTAAAGAGCATCCAATATTAATAGAGAGGACAGGCATACCTCGGTTTACTGTACTTCACAGATACTGCACTTTTTCACAAATGGCAGGTTTGTGGCAACCCTGCACCGAGCAAGTCTATAGGCGCCATTTTCCCAACAATTGCTCACTTCCTGTCTCTGTGTCACATTTTGGTAATTCTTGCAATATTTCAAACTTTTCATTATTATTATATTTGTCATGGTGATCTATGATCTGTGATCTTTGATATTACTATTGTAACTGTTTTTTGTTCTGTACATTTAAATTAAGGTATGTACGTTGTTTTTTGACATAACCTTATTGCACACTTAATAGACTACAGAGTAGCAGAACGTAACTTTTACATGTACTGAGAAACAAAAAAACTCATGTGACTCGCTTTATTGCTGTGGTCTGGAGCCAAACCCGCAGTATCTCCAAAGAATGCCTGTTTACTGTTTCCATTAAAACAATGGATTTTTATGTTTTTATGATTTTTATGTTTAATTTTTCTTAATTTCTTAATTTCCCAAATGAGAATTAAAAAAAAATCTCTGCCCTTATGAAGTATTTTCTGAGCTAGTTATTCCTGATTCTTCCTGGTTTCTTCTGACTTTTCTAAGGAGGCTCTCAGGATTTATGCTCCCAGGAGCCTTTCCCCAGGCTGGCAGGAAGGGTACCTCAACTAGTCAGGAATCCAGCTCTTGCCAAGGGAAAGGAGTCAGCCCAGAACATGCACCCACCTGCCTTCGAGTCAGAGACAAGCCAGCTTTAGACTTGATCATTGACCTGGTTATGAACTTCATGTTAGCTTAGGTTGGGGATGATAAACTTGGGTTAGTCTGGGCAGAGAGTGTCAAATTCCCCATGAACCTGCTGTAAGTAATCCAGTGCCTGGTCTTGTTTCACAAGTGTCCGTGCAGCCAGTGACCCCCATGTTTACCATTGTGGTAAATCCCTTCTCCTACACATGCTCCCTAGACAAGTTCTTACCTGACCTGGGAGAGATGAAGGAAGACTGGCGGGCAGGGATTTTAGGGACAGGAAGCTGCGTTCTCGTTCAGCCAGTCATCAGAAACCTGTCCTGACTTGGTTAAGACCATCTACATGAAACCATGATGTTCAGCGATGTATGCTCACACACACACCTTGGAAATCTATTAAACATTGGGCTGTCCTTCTAGAATTGATTTTTTTTTGTGGGGAGGGGTAACTAGGTTCATTCATTTATTAATTTTTGATGGAGATACTGGGGATTGAACCCAAAACCTCCTGCATGCTAGGCACAGACCCTACCACTGAGCTATACCCTCCCCCTTTTCTACAATTGATTTAAATGTTCAATGCTTCTCGAAAAAAGTTTTACTTGAAAATTAATTTTTTTGAAAACAGCAAACTATATGGAGGCTAAAAAGGCAGAGCTCTGCATTCCCCCTTCCTCATCCTAGCTTCCAGGGTTGGCTGTACATCCTCTCAGGCGTATTCTAGACACACACACACAAACTTCAGTCATACTATAGTACAGTGATACAACCTACTTTATAGCAGAGATGTCCTTCCATGTCAATTCATTTTTTTTTAAAGGAAAAGATACAACAATAAGAAAAGTAATCTTTCAGATAGGTTCATATTCCAATCTGGTTCTGAAGCTCAGCTGAACCCGAGGGCTTGGCTGAGAATCCCTGGTACAACCAGCCCTGGGCTGTTGGCTCCCACTGTGTCTGCCCCCTGCGCTCAGGTGTGTGTCCACCACAAGGACCGGGCATCCGGTCAAGCACGTGGAGGTGCAGGCAGGGGCTCCGGGAGAGGGAGCGTGTGTGTGTGTGTGGCCAGTTTGGCAGGAAAATGGGAAGATGCAAAGGCATCTGGGCTCCGTGGTCATCCAAGGATTGGCAGGAGGACTTCAAACATTGTCTGGTTCCACGGATCCTGGTGCTGTTTCTCATGCGTGGTCCAATATCGGCTGCCGCCAGAATCTCCAGAAGCTTACGGTTGGTTGGTTTGTGGCCCAGACTTGCTAAGGGAGTCAGATTTCTGGAGTCTTCAGTTTTATGGGGGTGTGGGGCCTAGGGGAGCTTTGTTGTTCACGAGTATGACACATTCCTCTGGAGTATCACAATTTGAACAACTTCTGGCATTTCAGAGGCTAATTCCCTCGACCAGCACCTCTCTTGACGCACTCTCGTGATAACTTCCAGGCCCTCTCATCTTTTGCCCTGTCCTCTTTCTTGAGCTCCTGGTCTGTTAAGCCAACTTCCTTCCAGAAAATTCACTCTGCATTCCCAGGCCCCCGTCTAATATGTTCAAAGCAAGGCCAATATTTTTACCTGAAAACCTCTATCTAGTTCTTAATTCCCACCGGTCTGGTCACCCAAGGGAGAAACCACTTTAATCATTCTTAATTCTTTCCTTTTTTCCGAATTGTTTGGTAAGTCCTATTGATTCTAGCTCAAAAATGTCTTTCAAAATTGCTCCCTTTTTCCCTAGTCCCAATGCTTCTGCCTCCACTGAGTCTGTCATTGTCTCTGTTTCAATAAATATTAACTGCTACCATGTACCAGAGCCATTTCTGCCATCCAGGGGTTCATGGTTTAATGATCCTATTTAACCTACAGAGGGATGTTTCTAAATTACAAATCTGCTCATAGCTCTTCTCTGCTCAATGATCCACACTGGCTCTGTTGCCTCGAGATGAGATCCGATTCTATGGCTGCACAAGGTCTTTTCACAACGTCCTTAAACCCATCTCTATGGTCTCACCTCTCACCATCCCCTCAACCAGGGAACCCACAGGTGTTTCACAGATCCTTGTTTTTACACATGCTCATTTCTCATTCTCCATTTCAAACGCTTGGGACACCCTCACTTTTTGAGGTTCTGCTCAAATGTTAACTCCTTTGTCAAGCCTTCCTCTGTTCTTGGGTCTCCTGCAAAGTTTCTCCCTCTGTCTTCTGCATTCACCTGCACCTTTGCTCAGAGCTCCATGACAGAACCTAGCACTTTTAGTGCATGATTTCCTCCCATCTTTGAATCTCCATCAGTCTGGATTCCAGACAGTCAGCAACTTGAAGGCAGAGGCTGTGCCTTCTTCACCTTGGTATCCCTGGCTCTCCACTTGATGCCTGGTGCACATGAAATATGTAGACACTAGATTGGACTCTGGACTCAATATTGCCTTATGGCAAACAGGGTTTGTGAGGGGAACTATGCTAATATACCTAAATGTATTGGGTGAAGAAAGTCATCTCTACCAAGTTCAAGCACAAGCTGGCTTATAGAATTGGTAACTCCAATGGTACAGCTGGTTGGGGTGGGGTGGGGTGCCCAAACAAGGCTGTCAGGGGTCTCTCACCATCTCATCTCCCATTTTCTTTGCAGGTTGGCCTCATTTTTTCCCGCTGATGCAAGGAGGCTCTAAGCCTATTTCCTTACAGCTTATGATCCAAAGGAAAGAGACCTTCTCTATCTCAGCATCCACACATCAGATCTCAAGGGAGGCTGCTTGGACCTGTTTGGTCATATGCATATGAGTTGACCAGTCATAGTGGACATACAGATGAGGTACCAGGACTGGCCAGCCCTGGGCCCTGTGTCCACCCCTGCGGACAGGCAGCTGATGGAGCTCCGTGAATGACCAGCACTGTGGGAACCACAGGGGAGGTGCTAGTTCTTGAGCAGGAAAAGGAGCACTGGGCAGATAAAATCATCAGATGTCCACTCCAGTTGCATGTTTTTGGCATAAAAAGCCATTTCAACCAATTTGTTTGTTAGCTCTCAGTATAGCTGAGGTTCATGAGTGCTACAATTTTTTTGTATCAAAAGCAGCATACAGTTTTAAGACAATGCTTCTCAAACTGCAATTTGCTCATGAATGAACCTGTTAAATGCAGGTTCTCATTCAGCCAGTCTGGGGTGGGATGTGGGATTCTTTATGTCTTACAAGATTATACTAGTCTCCTCAGGCTGCCATAAAAACCACAGATTGGGTGACTTAAACTACAGAAATTAGTATTCTCACAGTTCTGGAGGCTGGAAGTCCAAGATCAAGTCTGGTTTCTGGTGAAGACTCTCTTCCCGGCTTGCAGATGGCTCCTTCTTGCTGTGTCCTCAAATGGCCTTGCCTCTGTGCATGAGCGGACAGAGTGAGACCTCTCATGTCTCTTCCTCTTTTTATAAGGACACCAGTGCTGTTAGATTAGAGGCCTGCCCTCATGACCTTATTTGACTTTAATTACCTCCTTAAAGGCTCTATCTCCAAATATAGTTACATTGGGGATTAGGGCTTCAATATATGAATTTGGTGGGGGGTGGGTAATGACTCAGTCCATAACAAAACTTAGAGCTAAGTCTGGGTCCTGCAGCATCAGCACCACCTGCCTGGCCAGCAGTGCTACAGTTGGTCAGAGGAGGGCCTAGAACTGCACGGCAACAAGAACGCACGGGAGAAGCTGCACTCCGAGCATCTGGAAGGACCAGACGCTGTGGTTGGTTCTCTCAAGATCCTCTGGATCCAAAGACCCCTCTTCTACTTGGAGGCCAAATTGAAGAGTGATGACATTTAGGCAGAGAGTACAGACGGATGGGAGGGGAGAAGAGGGTGGGGGTAGCCTGGGGCTGCACTGAGGATGCAGCTGCAGGGATGGGGTACAGGAACCAGGACAGAGAGTAAGTCACGCATTTAATAGCCATTCCTTCCAAGTGCCCATGAGGTCCCTACAAGGGAAGGAGGGTCTTTATAACCGGGGGCAGGCTTGCATTTTGGTTGTTGTGACAGAATGAGAGGCACACTGCACTGAGCTGGGTTTCTCCCTCTTCCATCCTTTGTCTGATAAGAGCAATTTCTGGGGAGTTTTTTTTTATACATGTTCTACCCCTAGACACACACACACACACACACACACACACACACACACAAGTTGCTTGAGCAAAGATGTCATTACTAAACCCTGCTCAGTTGGTGGTACACAAACCTCCCTGAGCAGAACTTTCTTGACCAGTTCTACAGGAGAAAAATGCAGATACCACTACACTCCCAGCCACCCAAGCAGGCAGGAAGCCCAAGTACCTAGATGTGTCCCTCCCGCTGACCATGCCCTTTGAGATCTCCCCCTCCCCAGTGCCCTCCCTCCTTCAACTCATCACCTCTCCCTTGCCTGCCGTCCAGCCTGGATGGGAACAGGCCCAGGCCAAGCCAGCCATGCACAATACTTCAGTTCTTTTTCTTACACACCAGTGATAGTGTGAGGGAGGAGCTGCTGCCCCATAACCTCCCTTCCAGGTTGTAACACAGGTGTTTTTAAGCTGGGGTCTGAGAAATGCATCTTCACTTTTTGTTAGCCTCTAATGAAATTCAGCCTTTCCTCTAGCCATGAATAGAGGCAAAAACCACCACAATGTTTGCAACTCCTGTGATTCTGCAGCAGGAGAAATCATGAACGTTTTTGTATCACGTTATAGACACTGTGGATAGCTCAGAATGTCATTTATCCTTATCGCTACAGCATAAGTATTAGGACCGTCACTGGATTAGGTTATTGCACAATTTCTGTTAATGAAGAGGCACAGTAAAGGTTAAGGACCTCTGCTTTGGATTGTGACTTAAAGGTCCGAGAAGGTTCCCCAGCAAAGATGGCTGCAGCCCTGCCCTGTGGGTTCCGAGTCTGGGGCCTCAATCACTCATATGTTCCAGCGGCGGCTTGAGACAGACCTAGAGTGGGTAGTTTCTGAGAAGAATCTTGTCTGGGCCTCAGGTGAGGCCTGGTCTGCTCTGTGTAGTGCTGGGGCGCCCCCTTCCCCTCTCCCCGAGTTGGGCCATCTCCAGCCCTCCCTCAGTCTTTTGTCTAAGCATTGGGAAAGGCCTGTGACAGGACAGAAACTGAATGAAAATACGTCTGTAAACTATTTGCCGTCTAATTCTCTACTCCTGGGTAGATCCCTCTCCAAGCCTACCTCCCCCGTGGGCCCCCACCCAGCACAGGGGACCGTGTCAGCCGCCCAGACACACTGTGCGTGTCCTCTGTTCTGTCCTGCTTATCTCTTACACATGAGGCTCTGACTCAGATGCCCTCCTCCCAGCCATCTGTCAAGATCCGGCTGTCCTCCTGTGCCCAGTCACTTCTTGGCTCAAGATTTACTTTAAAAACAAATGATTAAGGTGAAGTTCACATCACACAAAACAAATCATTACAGAGTGAACAATTTCACGGCATCGAGTACATTTACAATGTCATGCAACCACCATCCCTATCTAGTTCCAAAACACTGCCGGCATTCCAAAATAAAACTTCCACTCGTTAACACTCTCATTCAGCACTCTCCCAGCCCCTGGCAACCTCCAGTCTGCATTCAGTCTCTATGGATTTGCACATCCTGGATATTTCCTGTGAATGGAATCACACAGCATGTGACCTTTTGTGTCTGGCTTCTTTCACTTAGCATAATGTTTTCCAGGCCCACCTAGGTTGTTGTGTGTATCAGCACTTCAGTCCTTTTTGTGGCTAAATAATATTTCACCATATGGATGTCCTGGAATTTGTTCATCTTTTCATCTGTCGAGGGACACCTGGGCTGTTTGCACGATTGTGGATACTGCTGCTATGTGGATACCGCTGCTATGAACGTGCACACGCAAGGATTTGTTTGAGTACTGATTTCCAGTTCTTTTGGTTATAGATCTCAGAGTGGATTTACTGGGTCATATGGTAATTCTATGTCTAACTTCTTGAGGAACCGCCAAACTGTGTTCCCCGACAGCTGAACCATTTTATATTCGAACCAGCAATGCACAAGCATTCCAACTTCTCCACATCCTCATTAACACTTGCTATTTGAAGCTTTACGTTTTTTGCAGAGGGAATATTTTTTCTATTTACTCTGTGATTATTAAACACAGCACAGTTTAGTCCTTTTAGACAAATTTGCCAGTCAAGCAGAGAAAATGGGTAAGGCAGTCGTCATTTTGGTGAGTGAAGTGTCTGATTTAATTAACTCAACTAATTAGAAAGAATTTAATACCATCTTTCCAGTTATTTCACTTACTACAACTTATGTTGAAGCTTTACTTTCTAAACTCTTCAGTAACTTCTTCCCTCTTATGCCCACCCCAGACTCTCCATACTCACACCTGACCCAGGCCCGCAGCACTGCCCTTATCACACTACCCGGCAATTCTACACTGTAATTCTGTGTTCATGTGTCTCACTCCATTGTTAGACTTGGCAGGCTGGGCTTGCTTGTGGGCAGAAATGCCCTTGTGCCTGCAGAGAAGTGCTGGCCCCTCAGGTGAGCAATAGGTGTCCGTTGCCTGAATGTGTGACTGGAGGGCTCAAGGGCTCCCCCCTGTGGTGAATAAGGACATAAGACTACATATTCTCTCACCTGCCCTGGTCTGAACACTTGACTGACTTTATTGACTTCACAGGAAAGTCTTCAAACAAAACAAATGAGACACCAGATGGGCAAGCATGCTGAGCTCTTTGAAGAAGAGAGGCTGTGTAAATCCACGTCTTTCTTTTATTGGAGAAACAAAGTAAATGACTCCAAATTGTCTTCACTGTATCGTGCCTGTCCAAGTCAGTCCGGAGGACAGAAATAGCGCTTGGAGGCAGCTGAATGAATCATCAGCAATAAATGTGAGGCTTCCGGGGAAACTGTGACTTGGCTAGTGATGAGGTGAGTGTGTGCCCCTGCACGACTAGCACTTTTTTCTTGTCCTCTCTCGCTGTAAAATTGGAAAAGCTTTAGAATTCCTCTGCCTGCCCACATCGGAGCACTTGCCCACTTTCCATTTATCAAAAGGTGTCAAAAGGTGCTAGGCCCTCAGAAGGCAAAGAGAAGTACGATCTCATTCTGTTCTCAACGTGTCTGTATGTAAGACGATGCATGTTAAGAAGCCACATACCTGGATTATTTGGAAGGAAAGAATTCTTGATGGAAAGGAATAAACTTTGTTTCCAGGCACACATGAACAATATGGGCAAAGGCAGTTATAGTTGCTATATTTTGGTTTTATTTGGTCAGTTGGGTCCCATCCTTAGACGAAGAGCTAAATATTTTTCAGGTGTGTTGGCAGCTTTTAGGGCTGTTATAACTCTGATTTTTCTAGTACCAATAGAAAGGCAGTAGATTAGGTCAGAGAGAAGGATTTGACTGGTGAGCTTTTCTCAGTTGAAGCTACTTCACCATAAAACATCAACACAACAATAAAAATGGGCTTTCTGTACAGGACGAGCAATGTAGGATAGGAAAGGAATGCGGGGTTTGCAGTGAAAGACTTGGGTTTGAGTCCTAGATCTGCTGCTCATTTGTCATATTCTAACAGACAAGTCTCTGGACCTGGGGTGCTCACCCAGGTCTATCTTCCCTGACATCTCTCCCCCCAGTTTGGGGAAATTTAAATAACTAAATCTGAAGGCATTCCAGCAGCTTATTACATTGTTCTATGATCACAGGCCCTGTTTCTGAACCCTAATTCACATGCTTCCTTTCTGAATTGGAATGGACAACCATCAAGGTATCTTGTTGTTAATATAATGCAAATTTTGGCATTCAGGCCGGAGTTGTTGTTAAGTTGGGTAGCTGTCTCTGAAAACCCAAGCCTGAACATCTACTTTAACCAAGTTTAGGCTACTGCACAACTTTACCAGCTAGGGTTTTTCTCCCCCACAGAAAGCTGCTTAAACTCAGATAATTACAGTCCAGTTCCTTCCCACCGTACTGTGAGCTCATGGGGCTCACTCCCCTGCTTCTCAAGGCCACACCCCTCCTGTGCCCATGTGCTATTTTCACTTGTGCGCTGACTCCACTGCAGCACTCAGCTCCCCTTCTGAGATGCCCCAAAGGAGCCCCTGACTCATTAGTGGGCCGTAGAGACTAATCTGAAGGCTGGGTGGGGTCGTGGTGGGGCTGGCACTGCGACAGCTCACACATGGAGCAGCAGGCAGCCTTCCCTCACCAGGCTCTTCCACTTTTTCATTCATCCTTTCCATCTTTCGCTTCTTCATCTGCAATAAACAGAACCGAACAGATCCCACCACCACCGCCCGAGTCTAGCCAGAATGATTCTCTCCACGCAAGAGTCAGCTTATCAAATGTTTTCCCACCCAAAACAGCCTTCCCTTCCCAGGAGGAATTCTGGCAAGTAGATTTCCTCCAGCTCTGCACCCTTGTTTCAGGAACACATCCAAGCCTTAGGGGCTCAGTGCTGGGAGGCCAATGCCAGGGCAACGTCAGTGAAACCTGCCAGATTTGTGGACGGCTTAGACGTCTGTTTTAACGCCCATAACCCGTACTCGGCATTTTAAATAAAACTCCAAGGCAAGCAGCTTTCCACCATTAAAGTTGATCATTAAAGTGTTCTGACGCATTCTCTTTTTCTCTCCCACCACTCCCTGCTGATTTCCTGCAGAAAAGACCATCTGGCTGGGACTTCCTCCAGATGACCACTAGAGGGCACATGACTGTCAGCTCACAAGGCCCTCCTGACAGCCAATTCCTGGGGCTTTGCTGCAGAAAGGACAGTTTTTGTTTGTTTGTTTGCTTTTCCCTCAGAAACTTGAGGAAAGCACTTGACATTCCCTGGATGCAGCTAAGGCATTTTCTATGACATTCATCTGTGAAATGTTGGCTGCGAGAGGCAGACATTCTGGTGGGTGGAGGGAAAGACTGCATTCTCTGTTCCTTCACTTCTTCCCACCTCGGGACAAAAGGGCTGCAGAAAGCTGAACAAATGAGTTTTGTTTTTTCTAAGATTACTAGTAGAATATACTTGTAGGCTATCTGTGTCTATGCAGCCTTGTGGAATAGTGAAAATAGTGTGTTTTGGAATTAGATATATATGGGGTTCATTTCCCATAGCCAGGCTTCCTGCCAAGCTGGCAGACTAGCATGGGCTGCTGGCAACCCTGCAGAAAGTCCAGTATCAACTCGATGGGAGGTAGGAGAGGAGTTGAGGAGACCAAGTGGCATGGATTTGCCCTTGGGTAGGGTCCCTTGGGCACTCCCTTTCCGAGGAGGGGTGATACACACTACTCTGGAGGGGGACACAGAGGTAGTAATGGGATGGAGAAGTTAATTGGGGTAAATAAACCTGAGTATGGGTCAAAAGTCAGAAGTGACCCAGATGAGATCAAAATTGGATTGCTTAATCTCTAAACTAGCAGGCAAAAATTCAGATGTAAATGGAAATGAAAGAAGAAGGAGAAAAGAGGAAATTTAAAAAAACAAAAAAACAAAACACCCTGTGCTATCAATGAGAACTCTCAGCTCACATGCTGAACTGAGTCCTCATAAAACAGTAATTAAATGTTTCCCAGCTCCAGCTCTTACCAACTCTGTGACCTTGGACAGTAGTTACAATTTCTCTGAGCTTTAGTTTCCTCATCTCTAATATGCATAAAACTACCACGGTTACAAATTTGCCGCAAAGATTAAATAACACAGTTTGCATAAGAGTCCTCTCCTACGTGGCTCTTGGTAGCTGGGGAACTTTCTAGTTCTCTCCTCTCTTCTCCCCCTTTAATGTGTTTAGCGTATAAACACTTACTCATTCAAGAATATTTACTGAGTACCTGTATCAGGTTGCTTTCAGCTGTAAGTGATGGAAAACCTCACCTAAATGGTGGTAAAGAGTAAGGAAAAGGTATTACCTCATTACAAGAAGTCCAGAGGCAGGGCAGTTCTAGGGAGGGTTACTGCAGAGTCAGCAAAATTATCAGGGACTTGATTCCTTCCACATTTTGGCTCTGCCGTCCTCAGCACGCGAGCATCTGTCCTGGGGCCTCTCACCGTGGCTGCAGGACGGCTGCCCGTCTGCTCACCTGGGGGCAGGCATGGGCTCTTTCCTCTCACATGACACTTTTAGGATTCTCCTGGAACTATTTCCCAGAAGTTGCCCCAGCAGACCACCCCTCAGGGCTCAGGGACCACAAGTGGGTCACTCGGCCCATCCCTAAATCAGTTCCTGGTGAGACGAATGGGTTTCTGTGATTGAAACAGACCAGCCATCACTCACCCTAAGAGGTCCCTTAGTCTTCCCGAGTCATTGATACCAGAACAAGATCAATTAGTAAAGACAAACGTTAGGCAACCAGGAGTATTTTCTGGGCACTGTCGCTGGTGGTGTGCACACAGTAGTTTTTAAGACAGATGCCATATTCCTGCGGAGCTGGTAGGGGAGGCTACAGACAAGTAAACTGACATTAATAATATAGTGTGTAGGTGCTATGCAGGAAGAACTTTATGAGAATCCGTAATTGGTGGTCAGGGAAGACTTCTTGGAGGAGTTATTCTTGGAGAGTTAAAGTAGGATTTTTCCAGATAATTAGGGGTAGGAGTAGAATGAGAGCTTGCATGAAAGCCCTGGGAGCCAGAGTGATTATGACATATTCAGATAACTGAAAGAAGTTCACCATG